TTGGGAGGATAATTCACATATGTTAGGGGACAGGGAGGGGAATGAGCCCCATGAGGCTGCTGCAGTGATGAGTACAAGAGTTCAGCTTTGGCTATGACGTTCAGTCACTTTGAAACAGGGATCTTCAGCTGTTGTTATTGGGAATGTTGTGACGTGGGCTGCAATTGCTGCTGCTCAGCAGGACATTTCCAGTCCTGGGCCTGAGCTTTCACCCAGCACATGGGTCTTTATGCTGCTTATGCCTTGGCATCCCAGAGAGCTGTCAGACACATTCCTTGCATGTGGGGATTCCTCAGGTGAGACTTAATGGAGAGAAGGATTTTGTTGATTCTTAAGGCTGTGATTGTTTGTGACACTGATGAATGTGATGTTACCTTGAAATATGAACTCACCATCAGCTGTGAGCATCAGTCAAGAAAAGATCTGGCACTTACAATCCATGCTGTTCACAGTCTGTGTTTTGCAGCCAGCTGTAACAGAAGCCTCAGTTCCCGTGATGATGCTCCTGGGGACAGAGCCCGATGGCATCTGCAGAGTGCCATGGAGGCCCAGGGAGCCCGAGCCACAGAGAGGGACTGCAGCCCCGGTGCCCCTCTGCCCATGGAGAGACAGCAGAACGTCATGGGGCCCTCAAAGCCAGCACAGAGCAGACATCTCCAGCAGGTTAACTGCCTGGGACAGCCTGGGACAGTGGGAGCTGTGGACTTGTAATGCAGAAACTTGTTTGCTCATAATCTGCGGGGATGAGTTTTGGAACAAAGCCAAGAGTGCTCTGATCATAGTCTGAAATACTGATATAAATAGTGGAAGGAATGGATGTCTGTAGTATAATATATATAATACACATGCAGACATTTTTCTTCCTGGCACACCAAGAGTTGTAAACCAAATGAGTACAAAAGCAATTTACTTAAGAAAAAGTTAGGCACATTGCACTGGAATTAGAACTGGTTATACTACTTTACCCCAAAATAATATACTTGATATCTTTGGGTGTCAAGTGAAGCCTTTCTAAACGATGACGTGTTTTTGTGGCCACCTTGGCCAGGTTTGTTCTTTCTGCTTGATGAACAGTGCACAGAGAAGGGGATCTCCAAGAAGTGAATTTTTTTGCCCTTTGGAAATGTGTGTGAAAAGGACAGCAGCATATGGACTTGGCATGCCCCAGGCATGGCTGTGGGAGCCTGGAACATTTCGTGCCTGCAGCAAGTGTAGGAGAAGGGAGGAGGAGAGTGGAGCAAGCGACTGCAGTGAGCTGCGTGGTGATGGCAGTGAGTTACCCTCTGAGAGCAGGAGCAGCAGGGGCCCAGCCCTGACCCAGTCTTCATCACAGCAGAGGTGGGGAACAGGCCTCATACCATGCCCCTTCCTTGCCTCATGGGTCGCAGCAGAACTGGGAGGTTCTCATGAATTGCCACAGGCAACATCTCGACCAGAGAGTGCAGATAAAATTGCTGGCCACAGCAAAATCAAGCCAGGTGCTGAAGGAAGGGACAGAAGGTGGGCTGGCTTTGGAAGCACAGCTCTGTCAGCAGTCAGGGCCTTCAGCTGTGAGTGGAGGCAGAAGCATGCCGTGGCTTTTTCGAACGTACCACTATAAGATGTTTTTATGGATCAGAGACTCCAAATATTGTACAGAACAATGAACTAGAAATGAGACCATAGAACTCTTGCACAAATTGCAGATGAGCACAGGGCAGGTGCTCATTGCAGATAGCACAGCCAGGTGGGCACACACAGCACACATTCACAGAAAGCCTGAAAGAGGCTGCACGTGGCCATATCCTGCATAGCAAGCCTTCAGCACATTGTCTAAGGCAGAGCTTGCAGCTGTAATGGTAGTGCATTTGGTCTCTCATTATGGATCTTGGACAACCACCCATGCAACTTGAAAATAACTTGTACAGTTAAATAGGGTGTGTTTTTCTGTACTCCAAATGTGTGATGCACCCCAGGGAGGTCCAGTGAAAGGTTCATGTGCCTTTTGGTAGTTGTTATTGCCCACCTTAACAGAAGATGTTCTGATTTACGTTCAAGGAGTACTGATAGAGGCTTGAGCCTGTGTCCCACTGACATCCTGAGCAGATGCTTTTAGTCCCTCACTTTTTAATGTTGGTGTCTCCCCGTTGTTCTTGGAGCAGCCTCACTGCCAGACATACCTGCACGAAGATCCGGTGACACCGCGCCATTGCCTCTCCCGTTTCTGTTGGATGGTGTCCTGTCTGTTCTGCACTGCTGAGGGTTCCCACACCCCAGCAGTGAATGTCACATCCCATTTTTGTGAAATGATACTGATTTGCAGATACACAGTCTCTTCCTAGAGCTATGCCTGCCCCAGTAACTGCTGGGAACCGCACAAGCCCTGGCAGAGGTGGCAGAACTCCCCTGTGTGCAAAGCGTGCCAGGCTCACGCAGCGCTTGCTCATGGAGCAGGGAGAAGCATGAATGGGAGCAGATTTTAGCTTTATTTTAGTCAAGGAAATCCAGGGATGTTAATTACTGAGCTGTCATCAATTTCAGTGACTGCAGAACCCAATTAGCCTCTAATTTTAGTTTCATGCTAATGCCATTGTCAGCTCTTTCCGTATCACAGGTGAGGCAGTCTTAGATGTGGCTCCACAGTTGCTTTGTGTGGGTGGCTGCTTCCTAGAACCTGACACACAGCAGGGAAATTGGGGCAGCATTTAGAAATGCTTTGAAAGGCCCTGGGGTTTTTATACCATTTTTTTTATTGCTGTTCCACTGCTGCCACACACAAGGCTCACGTGGGCACCAGCCCTCATGAGGCACAATTTCCCCTTGGCTGACACCCCACCTGGCAAATGATAAGGCTCAACACAGTGCTGCTGGGGGTCTGAAGGGGGGAGGCTGCTAATTGCAGGATGCCATAGGCATGCACCCTGTACCTGTAAGCAGCAAGGAAGGACTGGAGTGTTCTTTAGGCAGTGGCCACCTGTGGCTTTCTGGGAGACACCAGGAAGGATGGCCCGCTCTGTCCCACTTGTGCTGGCATGGTCTGAGTGCTCTCCTGGACATGTGTGCTGTGCTCCATGCACGCCTGCTCTGGGCTGCAGCAGCACTGAGCTCAGCCTGCCCGGGATTCCTCGGCACTCGCAGGGGTGGGAGTTCCAGCTGTGGCCGCACTTTGTGGCATTCTTCTGCTTGCAAGTATTTCTGCACAGCTCTGGTCTCCCCATGTTATTCCTCATGGATCTTGTACTGGTGTAAAAGTGGTGCCTATGGAATAGCCTGGGCTGTCTGGAAACACCTGGACACAGCTGGGTTTGCAGCACAGTGGGTAGGTTGGTTCTTTTCTGGAAAATACCAAACACATAGATGGGGACAAATGGGAGATGAGTGCCAAGATCTGTACCAGGAGCTCAGTACTTTTATCCAATGGAGCCACGGCATGGAAAAAATGTCCATAGGATGTAGAAGTTTATTTAAACGTGTATTTAATGTTAATGAGTGGACCCACAGCACAGCTTTCTGACTTGGAAGCCAGTTGCTGAAGAGCAGCTGAGCTTGATTTGCAGAGAAGTGTTGTTCTCCAGTGGATTTGCAGGTGCAGCACAGTGACATTTTAACTGTTTGGGCTTCCCTGCTGTGCTCTCAGCCATCCTGGAGGGTACACAAAGGCTGGAGGATGACTGGAACACCACAAGTTTTCCACAAAGAAGCTCAGTGAAGCTTCAGAAATCTCCCCTGGTTCATGCTGCTTCTGAGACATGTCCAAGCTGATGGTCACATATAGGTCCTTATAACTCCTTTTGAAGGTTTGAATGCTTTGTTTTGCAGCAGAAGAGCTTTTCTGGGCGTTATTTGTGCTGGACTGACCTTCAAATAAAACTAAGACCTGACAACACAGTAGGTATGACAGCCCTGTCAAGGAATGGATAATATCCGGTCTTTAAATACACTTTCTATTTATGTTGGCAGTGTACAGGCATCTCAGGATTTTACCTGCTATCCCAGACTTACACTTCAAAAGTGCCACCAAGGAAACTTCTCTGCATATCTCTTTCTATTTCAAAACTTCTTAACTGAATAATATGAGTTGGCAGATACATCACTGCCTGTTGAAGCTCACAGCAGAAGAATGTTCAAAGGGAAAAGAAAATATTTGGAAAGTATTTTTTTACTATCATCAAACAGACCTGGAAGTTTGTCAACTATGGGTATATGCCAGTTGTTCCTGCAGCTTAATTTTTCATGGTTAGTTTATTTTTCATGTTTATCAGAATGTTTCAGTTCATACCTCAGGCACCTCAATCTCTGCAAGTGTCAGGGTCCCCTGGAAGGGCCAGCAGCTCTGTGTGCCCCCAGATCAGCTGGCAGACATCTGCCTTGTGTTAGGAGAAACATGATCTTCCCACTGGCTTGGACCCATGGAAGGGGGTGGGAACACTGTGAAACTGCTGCATAAACCAACACATAACCCAGCATTTCAGAATAAATAAGCAAAATTGGTTGCCTGCATTTTCTTGGGGGAAAAAATGTTGAGCATTTTCAGGAAAAGATGATGCTTTTCCACACTCTTTTGTAGAAGCTGCTGTGGATGCCAGGTGGGTTGTTAGCCCTGGGATTGGCTGCTGGGGCCTGGGCCACAGAGGGATGGTGGAGACTGCCTTGGTTTTGCCATCTGACTCCAAATCTGGCTTCCAGCTTTCTCTGACACTGCTAGTGCAGTCAACAGGGCTTGGCTGGAGTTAATTGAATTAAATGGGACACTTGCCAGGGACACCAGTTATCTCCTGCAGTCATTAGCACAAGAAGGGTGTAAGGATTAGCTCTTGTTTGCTGTCTCAGGTGTTAGTGGTGATACCAGCTGACATGTTAAGGTCTTGTCAGCAGCAGCATGTTCTAGAAGAGACAGCAGCCTCTTTAGCTGATAATACCTGTATCATTTCTTTTAAATGCAGGTATTCCTCATTGGAGTAATTTTTTTTTAGTCCTTGCTTCGGATAGTTTAATGAGTTTCATGTCATCTCTCATTTCAGGGGATCAGCAAACGTTTATAAGACAGGTACACTCCCTTTGGACTGACAACACCTCCCAAAGATTCACTCTCCAGCCCTTGGAGCTTCACCAGCCCTGGGAGCATGGCCATGGTGAGGGGTGAGTGCTGCAGTCACTGGTGCTGGCTGTTGCTGGTATCACGTGAACTCTGCAGTGGGGGAGGAAGGACCTGAGCTTTTGATTTCTGAAGGATATTGCTCTGATAAATAAAGAAAGGATTTAACTACTGCAGGAAAGTGTGGAGATTTGCTCTGTGGCATTCTGGATGAGAAATTCTGGTCCTGAAGTCTGTACAATTACTGAGGCAGCAATGGGCACATGCCCATGGTTCACCTGCAGTGGTGCCCACATCCCACGTGCCCAGTCCCAGCTGAGGCAGTGCCTGTGTCCCACCCAGGGCAGTGCCCACTTCCCATGCCCCACATTCCCCATGTCCCACCCACAGGGGTGCATCCTCTGGGTGGCTCACCTGGAAGTGAAGCACTGCTGCTTCCTGGGGCTGGGGAGCAATAATTAACACTAACTAACAAGCAGAACTGGTGATGAAGTGCTGAGCTCAGCCATCTCTGCCATCCACAGTGTCTGGGGGAGTGCAGCCTCTGCACAGGGGCTTTGGGGAGAGCTGGGCAGCAGAGCAGCCATCCCTGCCCAGGCAGTCTCCAGTGCTGCCACATGAAGCTCTGGGTGAGGGTTCCCTGTGTGTGGCTGGCAGGGAGGGTCTGCCAGAGCCACGGGAGCTGTGGCTGGGCCCTGCTGGGCTGGGCCCTGAGCTCTGGCTGCTGGGAAAGGCCCACTTTAAACTCGCTTTGGGCGGTCTTAAAAATTGCTGAACTTTCAAACTAAGTTCTTGTGATTGAATATTTATTGTTGAACTCAGCATGAAATGTAAAATAAAGCCTAAAACTAGGGATGCTTTTGATTTTAGTGTAAATGCTGACAGCATTTTTAATTTATACAGTATTTTAAGAGTGAATGCTTAAAATTATTCTGGTGTTTTGTGTCCTCAGCTGTTTTTCTCTCTACTGTGGTTAGCCCTAGAGTCTGCATTGGAATGAGTAACATGCAGAGATCAGAGACTTACGACAAGCTCAGCCTAGAGTGGTTTAAGACACGTAAGTGTAGGATTTTCTGGCAGTGCCGGGGGTCAGAGCTGCTTTATGGCCCCGTTCCATGTCAGAAGAACGGCTGAGGCGTTCCTTTGTGCTCACAGGACTGTAACAGGGTCAACTTTCACCTGGTTGGAGCCTGCCAAGATCACCAATTTGAGTCCATTCTGCCATTGGAAAATTGTTCATTTTCATGGATAAGTCAGAATTAATGTTGTGTGGCAGTGGGAGTGCAGGTCAGTGCAGGGTCAGTGAGGTGCTGACGGCCACTCTGTGGCTTCTGGCCATGACCTTGGCACAGACTGCCAGGGCCAGGGCTGGTGCCAAGGCACAGCTGCCAATATCTGCTATACTCTGCAGTAGTATCAAGAAATACAAATATACAAACCTAAAAATCCACAAAATGCCTTTTGGTCTCTTTAACAGAGTCACATCAATGTTTCTTTCATATAAATGTCCATGGGGCTTTGCTGCCTCCACAGTGAAGTGCATTCCAAACAGTAACTGCAATAACTAGTAAAAAGAATTCTAAGGCATGGGGGCAGAGCTGGGCTCCTGCTCTCCTGCAGCAAAGGCACTGCTGGTTGCAGCTCTGGAGGTTGGCACTGATGCATTTGCACTGCACAACCATCACTTTCTCAAATAGATATGTCACTTACACTTTCCTTAATTCAAATTTCAGCTATTCCTGCCTCTGTGCACATGTGTCTGACTGAGCGCTGCCATGTTTGGAGCTGTGTGGTGGCTGTTGTCAGAACACAGGAATGCAGCCTCAGGAACAGAGCCCTGCGCAGGCAAACTTGGTGGAACCTGGGCAGTGTCTGCAGCAGCAGTTAGGAATCTGGGACTGGGAGCTGACTGTACTTGCATTCCCAGGAGGACAAATCAGGGCCTCAATTGCCAGGTTTGCAATTTTTAAAAAGCCTTTACTTTAATGAATGTGTAGCTTAAGTGTCATTGTTCTTTTCATCATTCTGGGTTGTTTTTCAGAAAACAAGATCAATTTAAGAAATTTAAATCTGCTAAAATAGAAATTTTATCTAGAGAAGTCCCTCTGTGCTTCCATTCTTAGTATAAACCAAATTTATTCACTTCTGTAGTTGAAATTGCATTACTAAAGAACATAAAGTTTCTTTAGTGTTGCTTGATGGTTTTTGTCTGGTTTTGAATGGAAATTGGGATTGTATGACCATCTTGTGGGCTGTAACACTTGTCAGTTCATTTAAATTCATGTTTTAGTTTCTTATTTATTATCGCAAAGTTTATTGGTTTGTTAGGAACAATACCCAAATTTGTGATGCTGAGAAGGTAAAGCTGCAGCGTGAGCCCACCTGGAATCCTCGTTGTAGGAGAAATGCACTGGGAGCAACCATGGACAGGCAGGTTCACCAGCACTCCAGTGCTCGCTCTGTTTGTGAGTTTATTTGTGTGTCTCATGATTTTCAGGTTGTTTTTCGTATCCTGATGCAACTGAAAAGTCAGCCTTTTTCAGAAAAGTGTAGAATCTAATGAGCAGTGTGTTTGAAAACCTCAGCTGTTCCCAGGACACAGGTGAGTGATAAAAACATGGCACAAGCAGGTGGAGATGGGCATCTTGGAAAGAAAACATCAAAGGAGTCACACAGAGGTCGGGTTGGGCAATTCACAGGGCCAGGGAGCTGGAGATGTGTGCAAAGCCATCCTGCTCTTCACTCGGTGCCACTGAGCTTCAGTTCACAAAGAAAGTAGCTGGAAAAGTTACCCAGAAATAGATGACCTTTCAAAAGGCCTCTAATATACAATTACCTGATGTTCACTGAAGTGGTTCACGTGCTTCCCACTCTAAATGATTTTCTAGGTTCACCCATGTGTGAAAAGGGGTCTGATTTTATGGAGGAGGGCAATGGAGGAAAGAAACTTCAGAAAGGAGAAAAATATGCTGGGGAATTTTACTGGTTGTTTGCTTCAAGGGAAGAAAAGGGCAAATAGATTGCAGCCACCTCAAAGTCACCTTTTGACTTTGAACTTTAAAAGAAAGGAGCATGGGAGAACTCTGAGGTATTGACAGCACTCAACAGAAGCTGGTCCATGGAGATAGGTAGGAAATTTAGGATCCAGTGGAGTTTGCTTTCTTAGCCAGATTACAAATTCTTTTCTTCCCCACAGTACAACAAAATTATTACAACCCCTGTTTTCCTTACTGCCTTTTCTTTCCTTCTGCCCTGGGTCACCTGGCACAGGAGGTCCTTTCCCTGTGTGGGCACCAGTGCTCACACCAGGGCTGGCCATGCCCCCTCTGCAGAGTTTCAGCTCTGATCCTGGACCAAAGCACGTGAGTTATCTGGGGCTGCAATCTATAGTGGGCTTTAGGCAAAATACTTTTCTAAGGAAATTATTTCTATGGTTGGAACAAAGTGCCTCTCCCCTGCACCTTTCCAGTGGCAGCTGTGCCCAGGTGTGCACAGCAGTCTGGCTTCAATAGTTCAGTGTTCTCTTCACTGCCCTGACCCCCAGCAGCCCAGGGGGAAGGGGGCAGAGACCAGCCCCACATGGGAAAGGAGCAGCATTCAAAAACCCAAAGACTTCTTGAAGCCAGGGAATGGCATTCCCACATATGATGAGAGAGCACACTGGGCAATAGAAACTATGTTTGTATGGAAGGAAATAATTTTAAATAACCTTGGAATGTAAAGATTTTCATGAACAAAAGGAAATGGCAGTCCCCTCCCCCATCTGCATTATCTGACAAAACAAACAGAGACAGGTCAGACAGACAGGAGCATCAATGTGGTGCTTGCAGCACTGAAGCACTTTTCATTTGGTCGAGTATCTGTTTGTGGGGAAAAAAATCCAAAGTTGAGCTTTGGATCCAAAGCACTAGACTTGCAATTCCACAGAATTTTGTGACTTTGGAAATGTTCTATTGTTTTTCAGTATGAGCTCATGGAGCTGGAATGAAATTGTCCTTTTGGGACAAATCAAAATAGATGAAAAATAAATGCTCATGTCAGGTCTGGAGACCAAGGGGGTCCTGAGCCATGGTCTTTAATAGGTTTCTTTTCCATCAAGTTCAGGGGCAACTTTGAGCAGGATTTGCTGCAGTTGAGGGAGACAGAAAAAAAATCATATTAAAAATAAAAGAAGAACCCTGAATAAGGTTTTTCAAAAAGCCATTTATATCTTCGATAAGACATCCAGATGCAAAAGTGAATGGTGAGTCAGGAGTGCACTCAGGCACACGGTTCCAGCAGCAGCTCCCTGCCTGTGGCCCTGCTGGAAGGCAGGTCAGCTTGAGCTCACAGCAGCATAACTGTGGGATGATCTGGAGCTCCTCATGCTGCTGCCTCCTCCTTTTGGAGGCCACACAGTGTGCACACGCTGTGTTCCTGAATTCATGCCTTTTCTGGCGATTTGTTTGCCTGATCCTTAAATTTCTGTGTTCATCTCCAGGGCCCAGAGCTGTGCCAAGCTGCCAGCAGCTTGCTGAGACCATGGGCAAGTGCCTTAGCCACCAGGGTGTCAGGAGTGCAGCCACACACAGCTGCACTCCCCGTGCTCTAAGGGCAGTGTGCTGAGAGCTAACCATGGCAGAGAGACTGAAAGATGTGAGAGTTTCTCCTGGAGCCTGCTTTTAACTCTCCATGGCCCTGTTTGGGAACAGGCTGTAGTCACTTCATGCCTTTAGCTTGAACTTGCACTTCATCAGTCTGGGAGGAAGAATGGAAGAAATGTTCTGAGAGAAAATTCCATTTATGTCTTCTGCCACCTGCTAATGGCATATGTGAGCTGCTGCATGCCAGTAGCTGATGGCAAAGATAACATCAGTGTGGAGAAAATTGTGCAGTGCTGAAAATGAGACTCATGTTCCAGATGACCTGATAGTTCAGTGCCTGCTGGGGCCAGGTGTGGGGCTCTGCTCACCAACTCTCGCACAGACACACACAGTGGGATGGCCTTGCTGCAATCCCAGAAATCATTTTTTTAGGGCAAGCAAAAGGACAAAGGCTGAAAAGCTTCTATTCACATCCAGCCCCAAATCAGGCTTTGCTGCATATACCTCCAGCCTAATTAGTGTGGGCCAGGATGAGGGAGGCTGACAGGAGGGAAGAGCTGTCAAAGTGCCCGGTAAAGCTGCTGGTCTG